GGTTAACAACAATGAGGACAACTAGGATACCAAACCACAAATTAGAAAATTTATTTACTTACTAAATTCCAGTCTCGCGTTTTGTGATTTGTCGAAAGTTACTACATGCTTAATTTTTCCTTCTCCATTTTCTTTTCTGATGGTGTTTTAGTTCTTCAGCATATAGAAATGTCCTATGTCGTACATAAATTATGTTTGTGTATATATATATACTAGTGAGGAGCACCGTGCAAGGCGCGGTACCGGTGCTGGGATCGGCGGTGCTGATTAGCAGGAACATTCCATGCTAGGTTACTCGGATCGGCGGTGCTGATTAACAGGAACAAAAGGAATCTCCATAACTCCTGTTTCCTTAACCAAGTTCTAAGACTAAAGAATGTTCTTGTAAATTACGGTCAATACCAAGTATGCTTGAGGCATATAAGCAGTGATTTCAAATGCTAATGTTAATCATGATGTCAACAACTCTACAGATAAGTCACACTTACTATCGTGCCACTCAACAGAACTGTACATGAGCTGTGGAGCAACAATAAATGACAAGTAAAACATCTATTGGAAACAATAACCCAATATAGTTGAATGAAAAATAACAAAATAATGTCTCCACATATCTATGATAGAAAATTAGAACCCACAACTAAAACATTGATCAGAGGGCTCAGTTCATATCAAAGAAACATAGCTTTGAACCCAAATTGGTAATGGAAATGTTAATAACACCACAGCAAAATACCTTCCCATATATGTTTTCGTGATTGTGTAAGAGTGGGACCATTACTGTTTAACCATTCTCCGTCTTCATTGACACCTACAGTAACATTTATACAAGCAACAAAAAAAAACGATGAGCCTGTCCTACCAGTACTGACAAAAATAATTCAAGAATTTGTCGCGCCGATACGCGACCAAAAAAACTATAGATATTTGCTATCAATGAAAACGGAATACCTACATCTACAATCACCACTCACAAGACACGATTATGCACCAAAAACAAGTGCAACTGGAAGGAACAACATAATTATAACAAGCGAGACGATAAGCATGCATACAATGCTAATCCGAATGCTAGAGCGATTAGGTAATATATGGTAAACCTGTTTTACTCTGTAAAGAAGATTCTAAAAGTTCAGCAAAATTCTAGAGGATAAAACATCGATCATTTTCTTCAAAATATGCAAGGAGTAGTCAGATTCTTCAAACCTTCAAAGAAAATCTTATTTTTCTAAAAATGAACCTTATAAGGGGGGAATTGTTAGATGAAAATAAATACCGGGGAGTTTTTAGGAATTACATATACATGAGGGGTTTCCTAGTAATTTAACCATATTTCAGGGGTTTTTTGGTAAATTATTATTTATTTTTATTTGGCTTAAAAGTATTATAGACCTTACACATTTTGATATCAAGAACTCTAGTACCCCCAACAGTTAGTCGGCGACACTCTTTGATAATTATGAATATCTAAGAGGTGTTTTGGTGATTTAATCTTAGTCGAGGGGCGTTTTTGTAATTTGAAAATTGGATGAGGTTAATTTCTTGGTTGGTCCACATTAAATTTCATAAATCTAGTAAGTGGGACCATTGCTTTGCTTTTTGTTTGATTAAGTATATATGATTGTATACAAAGGATGGTGAAATGATTCTTGATAATTGTGCATACAGTTTTTGGAAATGAGAATGAATTTATTTATGGCTCTAATGGAATAGAGTCAGATATGGTACTGCGAGACCCACTCTAAATATGTTCTTGGTTATGAATTATAATATTAATTATTATGATTTGCTATTTTTATGGGCAATGTTAGGAATTCTTGACGATACCGTTTAATTCATTCATTAATTCATTAAACTAATTGATGGTTCTGATTCACCTCATCAGTTTGACTAGAAAGGAAAATTCAAATGCAGTTCTGAGTAGGGATGGCAAAAAAATCCGAACCGCTAGCTATCCGCGGGTATCCGCTCCGTTTAAAACCCGTTACCGAACCATTAGGGTTTGGTAATGGTTTTGGTAAAAGAAAAGACAAACGTCATGGTGCTGGTATGGTTATGGTTATATATATATATATATATATATATATATATATATATATATATATATATATATATATATATTTCAACAATATGTAAAAAAATTAATTTTACGAAATTTTAAATAAAGTATTAAATAATTTATGGAGGATATATTTGTATAATTTTTTTTTCTTTTCTTTTCTTTTTTCTTCCTATTTTCTGAGAGATACTTAAACGTTATCGAGACCTAAAGTTACTTTTTTTTTATTACCATAATTTAAATGGTAAATGGGTACCCATAGGTACCCGGATATTCGTGGTAATGGTTCTGGTATTTCTATGAACTTTTTAAAAGGGTTTGGTATGGTCATGGTTTGAGCTATATTAAATGGTAATGGTTCTGGTATTGCACTTTTTCGAGGGTACCCGCCCCGCTGCCATCCCTAGTTCTGAGTCAATTATTTTTGTGATTTCATTGAGCAGCTTTGTGGAGAAAAGGGTCGACTCGCGAAGTTATTGGGTTCACCAAATATCAAATAAATTCAAATTATTTAGTCATTTTTTTTTTATACTCAAGTGGTTCTCAATCTCATTAGTGGAAGCCACACGCTTGGCTTGGCTCGGCTCGGTTCGGCTCGGCTATCGATATTTCAATTTAGGTCTTCTACAATATTTAATTTCAATGTAAACAAAAACAAAAGCGATTCATATATATGTATGTATACCGATTCCGGAATTCCCCAAATTGTTAATTAGGTAATCAAAAACCTATCTGATCACCCGATCCGATTCACACCTCTAGTAAAGTCAGAAACAAATATCGAACTACACACACGAAACGTTCAGCACCCTACTTTTTATCAATTCCCATGCACACCTTTCATTACCTCTCTAGTTTAAACAGGCAAGCATGAAATAATTAACATCGGATTTAAATTGTGTTGCCTAAAAGAAAGATTAATTTCCATTTTTAGTAAAAAAAAAAGAGTCTGCAACAGTCGCATTCGTATCCCAACTTTAGGGAGTTGGATTGGCTGAATATATTGCATGGGGTATGGGCCACACCTTACGTTCCATAATCCTAGTAAATGATAGTAGATTGCAAAATCTAATCATTAATAAGAAAAAAATATTTATATATAATATATAAATAAATTGGACAAGTAGTCTGTATTCATGAGTTCTTGTTGAATGAGCATCCATATTGTACTGATCTTGTCATGTGTTTGTCTTAAATGAGAATCCTTTTTTTCTTATTTTCTTCGACCTTGAACCGCCCTAGAGACATGGTGGGCAGTAGTACTTTTTGCTGAATTTCAATGTAAGTTACGGTACGGTACGATACGGATAATGTACGAGATCCATTGTATATATATATGCTTTATTTAGTTTGTTTAATTAAAACCATACTAATTACTTCATTTGTTTTAAAATAAGTGTCGTTTAAGGTTAGTGTACACCAATTAAGAAAGTTAATAAAATACTCTTGATTTTAGGGAAAATAATTCATATTTGACAAAATTAACCCTTTTGTGGCTTTAAATCTCTCTTTATTAGTTCATTAGTCTCTCATTAAGTGTAGAGTGAAATTGAACAAAAAAATATTGTCATATCTGAAAATTCTGAAGTGACATTTAAAAATAAAACTAGAGGGAGTATTTCATGCGCCCGTCTTAATTTAAATGATGTTTTGGGTTGTTGCGCGCATATTAAGAAATTAATACACGTGCATAGATTATACTCTCTTTTTTCCCATAATATATGTCATTTTGAACGGTTTTTTTTTTGTCTCAAATTATTTGTCACTTTATATTTCCAATGAAGCATTAATTGCATTTTTTTTTTTCAATTTTGCCCTTTTATCACTCTTGTTTAGTTAGTTGATAAATAATTAATAACAAAGGTAAATTAGTGATTTTCTATGTTTTTTTTTTTGCTATAGTCTATGCACATTTATTGATTTTCTTAATATGCACGGAACTACAAAAGACGCCATATAATATAAGACGGAGGGAGTAGTAAAAAGAACATAAAAATCACTAAAATATCCTTGACAATAGTTATTTTACAACTAATTAATTAGGAGTGATAAAGTAAAATTAAAAATAATGCAATTAATATTTCATTAAAAATCTTAAACTTTATTTTGCAATAACCTCAACTTATACACTTGCGGCTTAAAATTGACAATTCAGGATATTTGCAAGAACCCGATGATTAATTTCTTCCCAATTGATAAACGCACAAGTTGTAAGGTTGTACGAGTAATTGCCCGGCTAATGGCTTTACTAATGTTGATATGATCTCACTTCATTATGGGTAACTTGATGAAGTGCGCCGAGCGGTGACTACGATAGGTTCAATGCGCACAAAGTGAAGATCGATGCTCAAGTCAGAAATCGTAGACACAAAATTAATTCAAAAGTTAAGCAGTGCTTAGAGAAAAATAAACTATGTAATTTACATTAATGAATTTAGAGGTAAATATAAAATATAGAGATGAATTAGAGAGATTATAATATATAAATAAATGTATTTCTTAGTTGGAGTCTTTAATGGGCTCGTGCCCCAATTAATTTGTAGCATTAATTCCTTGGGCTTTTGAATACATTGATATTAACTAATTACATGGGCTTGGCCTAATTGTGGCCCATTATAGATAATTAATTGTGCTTGCTTCTTTTTTATTATTTTTTTTCTTGGTAATAAGGACCCGCAACCAACTATATAGGTGCACTGGATAAACCTAAACCTATATTAAAATTGCATACACGGTAAATTGAAAAACCGACCGAAAAAATAGGTTTGTGTATGAAGAATAATAAAATTACCGAACCGATTTATGAATATGTCGTTTGAATATAATATAAATACTTACCGTGTATTTGTTCTATGACAATAAATTTGTTTTTGTTTTTCTGGTTGTGACATGTTTTTTATTAGTAAATTTTTTGTTATTTGTAAATTTTTTCAAACAAATGTGAAGAAAGCCAAATTCACTGATAATCAAATATCGGTTTTATGCATAGACAAAATCTAAACTGAAAATAAACCGAATTGATACCGAAACCAATAACCAAAAACCGAAAACCAAAAAATCGATTAGCACCGAACCGAGAAAAAACCCGACATGTTCGGTGTTTAAAATATGAAAAAACCGATACTATCTGTACGTGCTTGTGTTTATTGCAAAAACCGAGCCGTACGACCCTTGCACACCCCTAGAAACTACGACAACTCTAGTTAGAAACACTTCGGGCAGAGTTTACACTACATAATCAACGAGGTAGAGGAGACTCCAAAACAAAAATAAACATTGACTACCGAATCATCAAAAGAAGCATTGGCTAGCAAATCACGAAAAGGGTCATCATCGACAAAGCCATCATCGAAATCAACGACAGAGATTTCATCTTGAGGAGGCATTTCATCGAGCACCTTAGGTTCGGCATCAGCAATGGAAAGAGCATCAAAATCCTCGACAATGTTTTGGGTCAAGAGCAAATCATGGTACACACCGAGATCATGAGCCTTACAGATAAGCTCGAAAAAGAGTCGATGGTTTTCGTAAGCTTCCGACGCCTCCTCTGCGTTATTGAAAGTACCAATACACACCTTATCTTTATAAATCGGGTGCCATATATCTACAGCCCATGCGCCCGAGTCGCACAGTCTTACACCTCTGTATTTTCTCTCTCTACGTGCAACGGTCTCCGATTCTGGGGCGGCTCTTGACATGTTTTCTTGCCTGCAACAACAAACGCCCCCCGATATTGTATTAACGAAAACAACTAAAGCCACATCAAACGACTTCTAAACCGAGTTGTTACATCAAAAAAAACATACGATTTTGCGTAATTGCTGCTTCTTTTGGTGAACCCGAAATAATAAATAATTAATATCAAACAAAGATCAGAGGCCAAGGAAACCACCAACAAACCCAGATCAACCTACTAGTTGTTAAATACAGAAGAACCTCCATAAATTAATACTTGATAAATTAATAACCTTTGAATAATACTTTCTTCCGGTACCAACTCGATAAAAACATATTAAATTATTAGTTCGATAATTTAATATTTCACTAAATTAATAATTTTGTTAGTGCGGTCTGTATTAATTTAAAGAGGTTTAACCGATTTATGTGATAACCCCCAAATCATAAAACCTAGAAAATTAAAAACAATCGAAAAACAGCCACAAAATAATAGAACCACCATCAATTGACTGCAAATAGAGAGATTATGGAGCATCGTAGGTGATTATCATATTTTATATCGAAACTCAGAAACAAATTAAATAAGAAAATTAATTAGCTTTTCGTACCTGCTTCCTCTTTAGTTCTGCCTGCCAAGAATTGTTTTTCTACGTTCGATTTTAGGGTTTATATATTACTCGGTGCCTTCCTGTGGGCCGGGCCGCGGGTTCAGGCCCGATCATAGTTCAAAATTTCAAATTATGTACCAAGGGCTATCTGTAATTTAGCTGAAAGGTTGGGAGAAAATTGGATGGACTAGATTGTGATAAGCACTTTCATTAATAGTCCGGTTTTTTTCTGAATTGAAAAGCCAATTTTGACTGGGTTTATTTTACATACCCCTAGCCATCAAATAAACTAGGGATAAACCCAAGCTTAAATCATCCTTTGACATACCCCTGGAGAAGCGAAAGTACTATATTATCCTTATATGCAATTTTCGGTTAAACTGCACTTAGATTTTCTGGTCCTGCATTTATCATTTTTGCTGATTTATTTATTATTATTATTTTTTTTAATAATAAACATGTTTGTTTAATTTATATAAATGTTTATTTTTTTTAATTTTTAAAAATTTTGTAATTTTTTAATTTAAAAAAAATTATTTTTTTTTTTAAAATAAAAAAATTTGTTTTATAATTTTTTTATAATATTTTTTGTAATTTTCAAAATAATATGTTTACTGTACTGAAAATAACTACATGTAACTATAGTACCTATAGTAATTCGTAGTTATGTTCGTTTTTTACCCCATATTTTTAGTCGATCAATTGTATACACACGAAAACTGACTTATACAAAAAAAATTCATAAACCCCAACAAAAATTTACAAAAATCAATATTTTTATTATAAATCACATCAGAACCAATAAAATACAAATCGAAAATACAGAAAAAATAGGCATATGTAACTACATGTTACTACTATATGTATAGTAATGTATACAGTCTGTTGAACACTGTAACTTGAAACAGGTGTAACTTCAACCAAATTTTTGACACCTTCAAGGGGAGGATCAATGGCTTTCATTAAGTTGCAATTGCAAAATCAAGACAAAAAAAATTACTTTAGTGCAAATCAAATTTTTTTAAGAAACATCAAAATACTCAAAAATCAACAAACACTAAGAGATGGAGAGAAAAAGAGAGGTTATTGCTGGAAAATGCTACAGATTTTAAATCAAACAGACAGTGATTCCTCACCCCCTCGCCTCCTACCAAAGCCCTAGCCGCCGCTAATAACCACCCACGATTCCGCGCACCCACAAATGCAAAAAAACAATAGAAATAAATTTGAAAACATAAAAATAAACGAAATTACCATCAAAATATAGATCTCGACGAGAGGAATCCAACGGTGGGTAGCCCATCAAATTTCGACTGGTGGAATACCAAATACACCTTCGGCAAGACCACCGTCGTCGAATGAAAAAAAATTGCAGAAACAGATCAGCGCTCTAAACTCAATGAAATCACCACCAAAAGAAAGAGCTCGACGAGAGGAATCCAACGGTAGTTAAACCATCGAATTCCGACCACCGGAGAGAGAGTTATGACTCCGGGAAGCAATTTCGCCGGTGAGAGGTTTGTGGAGGCGGGATTTTGAATTTGGGAGAGGAAGAGAGAGACGATTATAGTGGCTACGGTTTAAAACTGATTTTAAAATGGTATCATAGGAACTTTAGGGTGGCCCAGGGGGGTATGTTAAAATATTTTCGAAATGAGGGGGGCTTCCCCTAGAGTGTAATCCACTTGGTAGTTAGTTCTATATAATTTGGAAATGAGGGGGTCTACAAAATAATCCCATTTTGATTATGTTCCAAAAGAAAAAAAAAAAAAAATGGAAATTAGAATTTTGGAAATTGAAAAGAACAAGTTCTTTGCAAAATCGGAAATTATTAAATCGGAATCCGTGGAATTTGAAAAAATTCCATTTTTCGAGTTACCTAAAATTTAAAATGTATAATAATATTATTCATCTTGTAAGTGTATTTTTTTTAGGGTGGGGTGGAGGGGGAATCAAAAATTTTTAAAATTAAAATCAGATTGAAAATTCAAATCTCATGTATATTCCAATTCCGATTGAAAATAATTCAGAAAAAAAAATTGGAACTTGGAATGAAGAACGTAATTCCAATATCGAAAAACTTTGGATCGAAATCGGGAATCCCATCCCAATTTCCACCACTACTCTAAGTTTAAATTTAATTTTAGATAACCTATAGTTTTTAGCTAGCCACCACTGATCACTTGGCTATTTACTATTTTATGAATAATTAGTTAGAAAAATATTGTCTATATTAGCCATGTTAAGTTATTAAATAATAAACTATTATTTATTTATTTGTTACAAAATATGTGACACTCATTTATTAATATTTAAATTTTATCAAATAATAATTACAACATAACGTTTGAAAATATCTTACTACGAGTAGTAGCCATAAATAATTATTTAAATAAGAAAACCTAATCGTATGATTTTTTTCCTCTTTATAATGAAAAGGAAATGTCACGCCTTCAAAGAACAAGACATCCACAAGTTACGCCTAAACAAGTGTTTGGCTAAATTTATAAGATGTTAACAAAATTATAAGTTCTTCCATAATGTTTGGTAAAAAAAAATTTATCTTAAAGAATAAGTTAACTGAAAGTTAACTTATTAATCGTATTAAAAGTTCAGAATCCTTTTGAACTGAAAGTTCTACTTTCGTAGTTAATCGTATTGAAACACTTGAGCATAAGATGGATAATGTGGTCCAGAAGTTAATTGAGATGGAAAAAAGGTAATCAACGAAGATATATATATTGGAAACTCGGCTACACATGACCATCAATCTGCTCATATCTCACGTTGAGATAATCTTTTGGATTTGATATTTGGTTTTTTATCTAGTTCTTGTTTGTTTTGAATATCTACTTAAAACTAGTGCATCTTTTATTTTAAAAATATATATATTGCTCACTTGGATGCTTGAGGATTTTGGAATATTTTTTTGATTTTTGCTAGTTTTACATTATGAGATTTATGGATTATTGATATATTTTGTGACATTGTCTCTTATTTAAGGTATAAATATGATCCAGGTTCTCCTAATGTATATTAAATATAAAAAGAAATGAATTAATATTTTTTTTTAGTAACGGATTACCGACGGTGAAGTAGTCGGTAGTTATTAATGATCAGAATTGTAATTACTGACCGATTAATGACGCAAAGTTACCCGTCGACAAAATTATCGTTGGAAGTATTAGTTGGTATATACTGACAGAAGTTACTGACAACCAATTAGTTAGTATTTACTGACTGAAAACAACTAGTCACTAACATTTACCAACCGTTTCACCGATAGAATATTATGCCGCTAACTTGAATCTTTCCGACGAAAAAAGGTGGTGTTTTACTGACTGAAAACAATTAGTCGGTAACATGTTTCCAACGAATCACCGACGGAAATGTACGTCGTTGAGTTGAATCTTACCGACGAAAAATCATCAGTTTGAAGATCATTTGTTCGGCGGAATATTATTTGATCATCGACACCATTTTCGTCGCTAATTTACCGACGGTTACAAATTTTGGTCGATAGCATTTAGCGACGGGGTTTATGCCGACCGATTTGTTCCGTCGGTGAATCTGTTGGTATAGTAATTTAGCGACCGATTTTATTGATTTGGAGACGTAAATTTCTATCGGTGAAGCCCAGTGGAGAGCGATGCGAAATGAAGTCACCAAAGATCAAATTGGTGAAGTGTTATGTGAGGGGCATCCAACGTGGATTGAATACCCGGATAAGGGGACGTATGAGCTCAATTGGAAGAGCATCAACTATGAAGGCACGTAGAGGCGGAACCAGGAAATTATAGTTGGGGGGGGGGGGGGGGGGGGAATAATAAAAGTCTAATAATACGAGAAAATAAAATAAAATAATATTTAAACTGTATGCGATAATAATAAAATAAATTTACTCAAAAAAAAATTAATTAAAATGAACTCGACGATCTTTCATTGTATATAAATCTTCTATGATCGAATCTGTGCTAAAAGTATCAGCAATATCCCTCTCTATATGTAGGAGTATGCAATCTCCAAGAAACTCATCTTCCATTTTGTTTCGAAGTTTAGTTTTCGTAAGTTTCATAACAGAAAATACTCGCTCTGTAGTAGCGGTAGAAACAGGAAGAAGTAAGATCAGACGAATCAATCTGTCAACCAAGTAATATATTTCAAACTTTTTCCTCTCCGCTAACCCTTCACACAATGCTGCTAAAGTTGATATCTGACATAAATTTGGATGCTTGATCACGTCTAGATAATAATGCTGCAACTGAAACTTCAAAAGGAGTCTTTCTCGTTCAGTGAAATCCTGAGGATAATATTTTTCAACGAGAGTGCAAATATCATCTTCATTAAACGACTTATATGAATTACTAGGATCTAAAGCGAGACTAAGAGTCAAGAGTTCCACTGTTTGATCACAAAATCTGCTGTTCAAAATTTTTCAATTGACTGTCTATTGTGGTATTGAAGATATCAAAATGAAAATGATGCTCAATAGTAATATTAATATCTCGAGGTTGATGAATCGACTTTCCTCGGCCTACTTTATAAGCACCATTAATATTAGGCATCTCAATATTCTTGCTTTCACAAAATGATATAACATCACTTAGAAAAGCATCCCATCCATTATCTCTCAATTTTTGAAGGAGTTGCTTTGTCGTTGAGACTAGATTCATAGCATTTAATATATCTTGAGACTTTGCTGCAAAGCTTGGCAAAGAACATCAGTAATTCTCATCACTTCTTTCATCAAAATAAGAATAAAGACAAACTGAAAAGATGTCATGGTAGTATAAGCAGAATCGGCATCATCACGTTGAGAAAAATTGGCGCCATCAACTATAATAGTTTGAAGCACAATACCAGTAGCATTAAACATTTTTATTAAGCTACATATTGAAGAAAAATGAGAACCCCATCGAGTATTACCTGCCCGTTGCAAAGTACCAATCTGGTTAGCTCACTTACCTGTCTCAAGCTCACTAATCGATATCAAACGAGAAATTTCAGCCTGTTGTGCATTATTTAACTCACCATTTCGCTCAGTAGAAGCACCGACAATATTGACAATAGAATCCAACTTCGTGAAAAATTGATGCACAAGAATCACTTCCCTAGATGCTGTAACTAGAGCCAATTGAAGTCGATGAGCGAAACAATGCACATAATATGCATATGGACAATCCTTCAAAAATAATGCTTGCAATCCATTCCATTTACCACGCATGTTGCTTGCCCCATCATAACCTTGGCCTCGAAGATTGTCAACACTAAGTGCATGATGAGAAAGAATAGTGGATAAGTCACACTTAAGAGTCAATGCAGCAGTGTCTTTCACACTTACAATATCAAAAAAACGTTCTTGAAGAACACCACCTTTGTCGACAAACCTCAAAACAAGAGCCATTTTCTCTTTCTTTGATTCATCCCGTGCTTTGTCAACTAGAATGCAAAATTTTGAATCACCAATATCTTCACGAATTTTGGTTCGCACTTTTGTAGCAATGATATGCAATATCTCCTTTTGAATCATTCCAGACGTGTATTTCATTATGATGAGCTTTCTCCAAAACTGTTTCAGATACTTTTTTATTATAACTTGCCAAAAGTTTCACCATTTCTATAAAATTGCCCGGATTGGTTGATTTTGGGCCTTCCTCATGTCCTCCGAAAGGGCATGATTGATATGCAAGCCACCGGACACAATCAATCGATGTCTTCACCCTCAAGCGATTTTTAAGTATTTGTTCAGCACTTTGGTTCATCATAACATTGTCAATATGTCGAGATTGAGTCATTAAATCCTCACATGATTTTACAGCAACAGATGGTTGGGAATAATGATTTCCCACGTGAGTTAGAAAAGCACACGTCATGTCGTTAACCTTTTTCCAATTGCGAAATCCTGCTACAGTATATGCATTTGCCCCAAGACGTCTATTTGGTTTGCTTGCAAAAAAGATAACAAGGTAAACAATATGCATCATCTGTAGTAGGTGAGTATTCTAACCATGTTGGAAATTGGGCAAACCAAGAATACTGAAATCTCCTTCGATATTTTTTATTTTTTGAATAGGGATAATTTGATAAATAAAATTGATATTGCCCCATTTTGATATAAAAACGTCGAATTTCATCTTGTTGGTTCACTCGATATTTCCAACTTTGGAGACGTTTTCCCGGATCACGTTCCAAAATTAATTCCTGGTTAGAATCAACTGCGGCAGTTTGTTCAAGTTTATAACCAAGAAGTTCATCGTTATGAGCAGAAGGTTCGACTATTTCTTGGTCATCAACATTGGAACTATCAACATCAGCTGTTTTTGGCACTTCACGGCCACTCTTAAAAAATGTTCCAATTGTTGTATTTTTTAATCGCTTAGATTGATGTGTAGACATCGTAATAACAAACCTAGAATTACAATAAAAAAAATGAATCTTTGAATTATTAAGCTGGAGGTAAAAAAAACACGGTGAAAAAAACTCAATGCACCCCAAATCAATGAATACGATTATGAAAACGATATCCAATAAAAATTTAAACTAGTTGTAAATAACAATTTATGATTGAGTCAACACCAAAAATTCTAGATATTCAAACAAACATAGAAAAAAAATCAAATATAACAATATTATACGCAAATTAAGAAACAATAACCATAAGAAAATCTCATATATACAAAGCAAATAAACAATAAAAGGTGAGATTAAAAATTGTACCTGCAAGTTTTGGACCAAAAGAAAAAGTTACGAATCCCCTCTTTTTATAGGTTGTGTTGTTTTGTCTTTTAGTTTGATGTGGATAGGACTTAGGAGTTATTGTTTTGTGGAGAGTTAATGGGGGCCCACAATTAATTGTACTAGGGTAGATAAAAGAGACGGATGTTTTTTCAACTTTATTAGATTAGGTTTTCTTTTTTTATTTTTTAAAGCCCAATAAATATAAAACTAATTTTAAAAATAATAGTACTAAATTTTTTTTTTTTTCTGGGGGGTCAACCGCCCCCCCTGCCCTAACTATGTTCCGCCAGTGAAGGCAAGGCATGGTTGAAGTTCATTTGCGCCAACGTGATCCCGACTACCTCTTTTAGTCGAATCAACCACGAACGGAGTGCTCTTGCATATTACAGTATTACGAGGAAGCCGATCGATGTCAGGTCCATTATGTACGATCAACTATGGCTGACAATGCATGACAACTCAAAGGGAACTTCTTCCCTAGCTTCATCACGGGGTTGTGTAAAAGAAAGAAAGTCCCCAAACAACCGAACGACATCGGGCTCAACATCCGGAATCCAATTGCCGATTTTGCGGCCTCGCAATTCAAGGAAGCAATCTATAACGAGCCACAAGCCTTGGCCGAAATTGAAACCGCTCCTCAACCGCAAGCTAGAAACGACCCCGAAGCCTCAAGCTCACGTGCCGATCGACGATTCCCAAAAGATGATGGAGCGAGAGATGATACTTACGAGGAACCAGTTGCCTACCGTCGAGCATAAATTCAATACGGAGGCACTTCAAAGATGGTCGGGCAAGATGCTACAAGCCATCGTACAACACTTGGGATGTGGGACACCCAATTTTGTCGAGCCAGGACCTTTACCGGCACCGATTCTTGAGCCCGTACCCGAGCTTTTCGATAATGAGGAGCGTGAGAGAGCTAGGGAGGAGCACCCTGATCACATCGACTCCGACTAGTCAGGTGTTTTCTATCCTTCAACTTTGTGCTAATTTCGTTGAGGGCAAGGAAAATTTTAAGTTTGGGGGTGGGAAAAACTGTTTTTGTGTTTATTTGCTTTAGTTACATGCCTTAGGTTTTTATTTTAGATTCTTATTATCTTAGTTTTTTTACTTTAGATTTTATTTTATTTTATTGCTTTTACCGTTAAAAAAACAAAAAAAAAAGAATTTTTTTTTTGCTTGAGTCGAATGCATCGATGAGTTATGATGATGAGAGATGATCAATGTTTGATGATGAGATTGCTTGTTTTGTATGTTAAGGATTAGATGTTTGTTTATCTTTCGATTCAACGAAACATAGAAACGAATCATTGCTAGGAATCACACTTTGTGCATTGCTTTGGTTGAATATGTTGTATTTTAAATTTAGAATTAATTTGTGTTAAATCATTCTATGTTCGGTTTTAACTCAACTGAGGAAACTTATGATACGAAGTATTGAGTAGTGAGTGATTTGGGATATGATTTGGGTCTTCTTTGAACCGTTTGAGCCTTTCAAGCCGACCTTTTTATCGAAATTATCCTTAGAACCTTGATTTGAGCCTCGGAGAAAAGATGTTCTTTCTTTTAGCCAATGCGTGAACGGTAGAATAGATGGAAATTCTTGAAAAATTACCCCTTGGAGTTTGGTTGGCAAATTTTATAAGGTCCTTCTTCTTCTTCTTCTTCGAAAAAAAAGGAGAAGAAGAAGACGAAGAGACTTGAAGGGAGAAGTAAGGACTAGTTGTTGAATTGTTTCTGAAAGCTCGATCCACTGCCTCAAGAGCAAAAGTGGAGACTTTCGAACTTTTGAGAATCGAGTTTATTAAAGTCCTTAGAGGTGAATTCATTTTTTTAAACGCCTATCTATCAAATTTTGGCGTAATCACCTCAATTCAAGAAGAATAGCCACTATACCCATATTTCTTACCTCGAACCAAAGAGCCTAACAATTGAAAGCGACCCAATGATCCCAATAGCTTAATATTTGATATTAGTAGAGTAGAAGAACTTGGTGAGTATTTGGAGTCAAATATATGTACGTAAGCATAATATTTTTCTATGTTTAATTTACAAATATTGGATGCTCGAAGCAAATGCATGATTTGTGTTTTTTGGCAATGGTAAGTGACTAAGTGCTCTTGATTTTGAGCTTGCGAATGCCTAAGAATTTTCATTAAAATTACAAGTTCTGAAAACGTGAAGTTGATCATTATTAATCTATGTAATGAGATGTAGTAGTTGGGTTATTTGCTTATGAGTAGATTTTGTTTGAAGACATGCAAAAGTTCAAGTTTGGGGGTGTGTTAAGTGTATATTTGGCCCAAAAATAATTAATGGAATAAAAATATTTTGGCCCAAAAAAAAAAAAACAAAAGTGTATTTTTTTACACTTAAGCAAATCTTTTTATTGGAGATTTTGATGTATTTTATTAATAATTGGTGCTTAAAGTGTTGATTTATTGTATTTTCGGTACAAATTGAAGAATTGGATAAATAGAGGGTCAAAACTGCAATTTTGAAGAAAATATTGTCAAAAAGTGAAGAAGTCAAAAATTTGAAGAATGAGATCCCAGACGGCCGTCCGAAAAATATACTAGGATTTCAACTGAGTACTATTCGCCCAAAATATGGTCGAAAAGTGATGGGCATTTTTGCCATTCGGCCAAAATTATAAACTATGTACTATTCCATATAAAAGTTATTGCATAACTGAGTAGCAAGTGAAAAGAAATTAACCTAAAATAAAGCCAAAGTAAACTCCAAAAATCAACTGAAAAGAAACTAACCTAATAGTACTTCTAACTATTTGTCCTGAAACTAAAACCAAAAATAAATTCAAAATAAAGCTAGATTAATTCTGTGGTGGAAAAAAGATCTCTTCAGCCTTCCTCTTTGAGGTGAACTTGTCCTCCACATCTGCCGGAACATTAAAAGCAGCTTGTAGAACTTCCGGCGAAAGCGCCTTCCAAACTGAAGTCCGTCCAGCCAAATGAGTGAAAATAGGACTGCAAATATCACAACAAAACACACATTACAAAGTTAGCATAAAGAAAAAAGAAAAAAATAAGTCCTTATAAATTAAATAAGGATAGAGAATCAAAATAAAATTGATTGGAACTTACTTTGGAGTAGTGATGATGGAGAACCAGTCCATACCCTCGGGATCAGCAATCTTGGAGACAACAAAGAACCTAGGCACAATGAATAGATCACCAGCCTTAAGCCTCGTCTCGAGCACACGTTTCCCATCGACACCGACAACTTGGACACGTCCACTTCCCCTTACAATGTAAGTAACCTGCAATGCAGAGTCACAAGAGAAACCTGGAGAGCACATTGCACTACCGTCTAACCTAACAAGATCTGCACCGAGCCCAACTTCACCGACCAACGGTAGATTCTTAGTGTTGAGAACCACAACTTTGCCACCATTCTTGATATCAACATCCAACGGAGCTTCCTCGCAGTTCAACGCCATTCCGTTGTAGTGCTCGATTTTGGGCTCGGGCATTCTGAAGTTGGAATCGAGCCTGACAATCCCGTTTCCTGATTGGCTGCCGACAAGTGTCTTGACGGTGCTCTCTTCCAGGTCCCATGCTCTGCCAACAAACTCCGGTGAAAATCCGGTGAAGATTCCGTTGGGACCGGTTAAGAAGAAGTCGGTGAAGGAGCCGGATTTGTGGGCTTTTGAGGTGTCGCCGAGGAAGAGAATGACTAGCTCTGTGTCTTGTTTGTTGTACCACCAGGTAACTACTCCGAAGGGGAGCGCTATGGCGTCTCCCTTCTTTATCGGGATCACCTTTTCTTCTTTTTCCGGGAGGACTATACCAGCTACTCCACTACCTATATCAGTTTCATAAGTTCAATTCATCAAACAACTTATTCAAATAGAAAACAACCCGAGAATACACAAACTGAAAAAAAAAAATTAAAAAAAATACAGAGCGATCAAAGCAGAAATTAACACCAGAAAGATGAAACTCGTTCTGGAAAAGTACATAATCGGAAAAAAAAAAAAAAAAGACAATCTGAATTGTGAATATATATATACCTTGAAGCACGTAAGCAACCTTAGCAGAATCGGAGTATCGAGGCAGAGCAAAGCCGTTCTTCTCAAGGGCGAGCTTTCCGGCGCCGATGTTTCCTTCGCGGA